CCACAGACCTCCATTATTTGAATGTCAACAGACAGCAAGAAGCCTCCCAGATCTCCAGATGCATTTGAGATATCAAAAAAGTATTCCAGAGTGTTGTTCAGCATGGGGGTGAGTAGAAAATGAAGGCTAATCATGTTTTGGGTGTACTATTCCTTTAATGTCCACAAATCTTGACAGAAAGAATATTTTAGTACAAAGATTGATGTTTTAAAATGCAATTGCTCTTTATTATTCTTCCATTTAAGCCGGCCACACACTGTATGAGTTTTTGCCCTTTTTCTGCCAATTCTTCAATTGTGCAGGAATTTTATGACCGGGTTTCAGCCTTATCCTGGGTCCTACATCGTGTAGTAAATGGGGTAACAAGGGGTGATTAGCCTCTCATAGCCACCTCCAAATCAGGAATGGTAAGATCAGGAGGAAATCAAACATGTCTGAAATTCAGTCGGCACTCGTTGGCAAGTCCTGTTGTTGAAGCAGAGCTACGAGCATCTATGAGCCAATTTAGCAGGACCTTGTGCACAGTGCATAGGCAAACAAAGGGAGTTCTTCTTTTTCTTCCAGACTGATGAGTCCAACCAGCGACATCTCTCAACGGTGAGTCCGACGTGCGGTTTTTGGACGTGAAGTGTGAGCAGTTAGATTGCATCAGGGTGTCGGGGCATACAGTGTTAGAACATACATTGTGAACTGTGAACTTTATGAATAATACCTTCATAAATAATACCAACATTACCTTCATAATGTTTATGAAGGTAAAAAAGAAGTATCAATTTGATAATATATCTGTATCTCATCTTTCATCAAGGAAATCCATTTGCATCATACAATGATTTATGTGTCTGCACCCAGTGTGTGAGTGTGAATCTTATTTTGTAAAGGTAAGCATACAAGCAAAAAGAAATCAAGCAGTAACTTATAGTCACATAATACTGTAGCAGAGAAAGGCAGACTCAGCATTTAGAACAACCAGAGTTTGGGTTCTCAAGGGGGTCACAAAATATTTGTCTGGGTTTAAACAAATATTCAGGTGCACAGGCAGTGCAAACCTTTTAGAGTTTTTTTTTTCAGCTTTGTACATATTCTTGTTTGTTCTCTCAAGTCCCCTATATTTCAGGGCCACCATTACGCAGATTCATATCAATTCTTTATACCTTTCTGAAAGATATATTATATTGGTGCTACCTTATTTAGCAAGGACCACAACTAAAGGGCCATGTGTTTAAATGTTTATTGGAGTTGAGGGGATGGAAGAATCAAAAGTAAGAATTATGTCATCTGAGGAGACAGTTTTGAAGGCTTGGAAAGAAGGGACTCAGTTTGAATTCCAGTCTTCTGGATAAGGCTTTCCTGAGCCCCTCAGATAGAAGCAGCAAGCAGTAAGACAGGAGAAGAGTGTAAGGTAGAAGGGTTCAGAAAGATGGGATGCAAAGGGAGGAGGCTGATGGGTTGAAGGGAAAGAACAGGAATGAGGATGATGGCTTGAGGAAACAAAGCGAGATGAGGATGATGGCTCATAGGCAGAATTCCAGATGAGGATGATAGCTTGAAGGATAGCATGAGGGATGAGAAGAATGCCTGGAAAGGAAGAAAGAGGGATGAGGTGAAAAGTTTTGATGGTAGAGAAGGCGGGAACGAAAGAACATAACCCACAGTGAAAGTTGGGTGAGACGGGTATATCAGAATCAGAATCAGAAATTACTTTTGTTACATGCTCCAGTTTTATATAATATATACACACATCCATCTATACAATATAATAAAGATAAAAAATAAAAATAAAAAGAGATAAAATATATACACATATAGCTCTTCTATATATATATCTGTACGTATACCTATGCATATGTAAAAACTAAATCCAAATAAAGTGAAAATCCAAGTAAAGTGATAAATCCAAGTAAAGTAAGGAGACTCTTTGGCAATTAACAAATGGATCTTATTTTTTTTGATAAGTTTTTTTTTTCTTTTGCTTCCACAGCATATTTTGAAGCATATTTTACAGTCACAAAAGCACATGGTAACTAAGTACTATTATTGATGGAGGGGTACAAAATTGGATTAAAGGAAGAGTGATTTAGAAAGTCAAAGTCTAACATGAGAGAATTCTTACTCTTTTTTTTCCTTTAGTGCATGTACAATAGATCTCTTTACAAATTAGGAAATAAGAATATAAAATTCTGAATTTAATTACTACGCTAAAATAGTTAAAATAAAAGGAATTTATTGTCTTCTATTTCTTTAATAGGCTGGTGGCTGAAAATTATCTGGATAGGGATTCCACACATCCCTACCCACTCACCTCATTCTAGAGCAGTGGTATTCAAACCCCATCCTCGGAACCAACTGTCATCCATATTTTAAACATGTCTCTGCTCCAGCACACTTCAGCCACCAAGGGCTGCAGATGCTTGCTAATAACCTATTTATTGAAACCACGTCTGTGCATGCAGTACAGAGTGCCCAAATGACAGAGTTTGAACAGCACTGTTCTAGCAAATACTTGATTGCTTACACACCAATAGGTGCAAAAAGTTTGGTTTATTACTGCTTTTGCAGAGAATGTTAGTTTTAGCAGGTGGCATCTAAGATCTTGACATAAGGACATGTTCTAAATCACATAACCAAAATTTATCCTGTTTAAACATAGAATTAGACTGGCTACAGAAATAAGTTTTAATGTGTTGACCTGTAGGAATTTACAAATGAGGAAAAATGTTGGTAGCCCTTATTTA